ATTGGTTGGCCTTTATTTCTTTCGCCGCATTGTGCAACGGGAGGCGATAGTTTATGTATCTCTTATTTCTATATTATTCCTATCGCTATACTATCGTTATTGCCTGGCATTGTGTTTAGGCCTTAATTATATGCAGTAATGAATTAAAATAGCGCTCTGATCACGTGATGTAGACAGCCAATCAGACCATACCCTTTAATGTCGCATTTCTGTTATCTAGGTTCCTAATAACGTATTTCACTGACAGAACCGGTGCGCACTCAGTGCACATTAAAGCTGTTGTACATTAACCTAATCTGACTGTAAAAATGAAAGATCTCAGTTAATAAAATACCCAATGAATATTTTATCAAATATCGCAATAAAATGTATTAAGGATTTCGTGGTTTAATTTATGTCTACATTTGTATATTTTTATGTCGATTTGTGTACAACAGCTTTAAAGTGCTCTGATTGCGCACGAGCTCTGCCAGTGAAATACGCAATAAGTTCGCCTATTCCTGGTGAAAGAAAATGGCGGTGATAATTTGATAATTTCGATTAATTTCAATTATCTACCGCACTTATCGTCTCTCTGATGTCTAGAACTCTAATCCACACCATTAAAAATTCTTTTTCATTTCTTTTTCTTTTTACATACTTTTTGTCATTCTTCTATCAATTTCTAATGTTTCTATCAGTTTTCTATTATTCTTTATAAAGGGTAATGGCCCTACGCATAATAGAATGAATAAGGAATTAGGAATAAAAATAACGATTTTAATTTATCAGAAATTGGATATATCAGAATACACGGTTTCTGATAGGTTGAAATCATTATTCCTTATTTCTAATTCCTTATTCCTGCTATTGTGCCCAGAGTCTATCACGGCTTAAATGTAGTTAAAGTAATATAAGCGTCACTTGGGTGAATATAGTAAAATAAACTAATGCCCATGATACGTCGTCTATAATACACGGAGTAAAAGGTAAGAGTAAGAAATTGACCAATCACAGTCGAATGTGAAATGAATAATCAACTATGATTGGTCAATTATTTACTCTTACTTCTTACTCCATGTATTGTAGACGACGCATAAAGGCCCGTCTACAATACACGGAGTAAGAAGTAAGAGTAAGAAATTGACCAATCACAGTCGAATGTGAGAAGAATAATCGACTGTGTTTCGTAGACGACGCTTGACACATACAAGAACGTAAAGGCCCGTCTACAATACACGGAGTAAGAAGTAAGAGTAAGAAATTGACTAATCACAGTCGATTATTCTTCTCACATTCGATTGTGATTGGTCAATTTCTTACTCTTACTTCTTACTCCGTGTATTGTAGACGGGCCTTAAGGCTGTAACACGCAAGCAGAAAGTGAATTGACCAATCACAGTAGAGACCGTAAGACCAGTAGCGGGGTGATCCCGATTGATCACTGCTCGATTGGACGCCATCAATCACAGTGACCGATGCTTAGAAGCTTTGTAGTCTCAAGCGCTGTGAGTGGCTCGTGTCCAATTGAGCCGTGTCCAACTGGGTGCCACTCCCATTAGCGAATCCAATGTTACGATTTCCTTACTGATTACGTCTTACGGACTTATGTTGGATTCACACTGCATCCGTTTTGCGTCGTACGACGCTCTGCAACCAATCGGAAAACATGATTTCGATGGATTTTGCTTTGTATCATCGGAATTCTGTTTTCTGATTGGTTGAAGAGCGTCGTACGACGAAAATCGGATACAGTACGAATCCAGCATTACGTTTTTCTATGTGCTCCGGACTCATGGCTCCTGCACACTGGGGCTCTATTCTTGAAAAGAAAGGTATGCGAAAGTCTAGGGAAATGCTGCAGTATACATTACGTATACTATAGTATTTCCCTAAACTTTCGTATACGTTTTTTTTTTTAAATAGAGCCCCTGGGGCTCTATTCTTGAAAAGAAACGTATACGAAAGTCTAGGAAAATACTATAGTATATATAACGTATACTGTAGCATTTCCCTAGAATTTCGTATACGTTTCTTTTCAAGAATAGAACCCCTGGACGCGGAAGCGCTTGCCGCACGGCAAAATGCGATTAAACTAATGAACATGTTCTAAGAGCTGTAAGCTTATTGGCTGCCGCGTCACGTTTTGCCGCGCGATAAACGTTTCCCCGTCCAGTATGCAGAAGCCATAACGCGGCCTGAAACTTTATATGGGAGTTTGCCAGGTATGATTAGTGTCGCTAGTGTACCGGAATTTCGAGTGTGTCGCGAAATAGACAGGCATGGCCCTCTCTGTGCTCCTATGACTTTGATGTTCGAAGTATTTGACATTGGTAACAATTCACGGGTTATTAATTGACGATTAGTGTAAACCTTGAATAAAACAAGTCGGAGTAACTCAAGAAAAGAAAGATGGCCTTAGAAGATTATAAAGAAGTTGTGGGATTTTGTGCCATGTATACCACAATGGCACAAATGTTATCTGGCACGTGAGTATGCTATGATACTAATATTTTTGGTAATTATCCAGAAGACGCTCCTCACCTTCAATTTCAATGGAATTATGCTCATTCGATGCGTTTTTGCATGAAACGGAAGAATCTGATTATAAAATATGCTCAGTTCCGCGAAGCGGGATATTAATCATTGAGGTTGGTAACTGTTCAGTTTAGTAATGTCACCTCAGAAATCGATGAAATTAGGTTAACTTAACGCGTTTTCGTTCGAAACGAACGAATCTGGCCGAAAAAAAGCATCGCTCTACCTCACGAACCGAAATATTAAGCAAATAGGCCGCAGCACAGACTCTTACATAACGCATAATGCATAGTGCATAAAGAAATCAACCAATTGAAATTCTTCTTTTCCATGGAATGAGAGAAAGGAAAGATTCTGATTAGTTGATTCGCTTATGCACTATGTAGAGGCCTAGATAAAGGCCGCAACACAGACTTTTGTGTAATGCATAAGGCATAACGCATAGTGTAACATGTAGCAACGCACAAGCTTGTGCATAAGCTTGTACTATTTAGAATGTCTCAATTGGAAAGAAGATAATATTATATAATTATACAATATCATTATATTATATAATTTTGTAAATAATGACAAATACGCCATATTCCTATCTGGGATGTTTAAATATAATTATCTATCACACGTTTCGAGGTTAGATCAGGCTAGCATGAGAGCATTCTTCGTATTCCTACTGCTTATGATGTCTGCATAGTATAAAAAGTTCGTCTTTAAGGATTTTTTGATGTCTTGTGTCTTATGCTTTATGCGCTATGCAAGATCTACAGAACGAGAAGTGGGGATGGAAATAAGGGACTCTGATTGGTTGATTCGCTTATGCACTATGCCTTATACATTATGCAAAAGTCTGTGTCGCGGCCTTTACTTTCCTCATGTAAAGCTAGAAACACAATAGACACAGGCCCGTATTCAGAACGCGCTTACAACGATGTTAGCACGCTAACATACTATACTTTACGTCACGTATATTATAGAAATAATACGTATATTTCAGAAATAAAAGTGCGCTTTTATCGATAAAAACGCGTTCTGAATACGGGCCACAGGCAAAAGGCACAGACAACAGGGAATAACGAGCCGTCCAATCAGAGCTCTGGGATATAATATCGAACTTATACTCCAAAGCTCTGATTGGACGGCTCGTTATTCCCTGTTGCCTGTGCCTATTGCCTGTGTCTATTGTGTTTCCAGCTTAATGCATGTCATCAGCTTATAAAGGTGCCTTTTCATGCCGACGCTCGACATTCATTTTCGGCGTCAAAATAAATCACGTGATAGAAATTGACGAATATCAAGGGTCAATTTTGTTCTTCTGATTTATTTTGACGCTGAAATCAGCTGAAAACGAGCGTCGAGCGTTAGCATGAAAAGGCACCTTATGGTTATAAGTAATAAGTACTTAAGGCCTAAACACAATAGCGATAGTATAGCGATAGGAATAATATAGAAATAAGAGATACATAAACTATCGCCTCCCGTTGCACAATGCGGTGAAAG